CACCCTTTTTTTCTTTTTTTTTCTTCGAGTTGTCTGATAAGCGTTTTTTTACATCTGATTCCTAATTGTTCAGCTTCCCATTTTGCTTGGAATCCTGGTACAGTATTACCCTTCCAGCTCCCATTCTTGGGTTGCTTTTGGACCTTCACTGATCATTGCCAGTTTTTTTCTTCCTTGCTTATCATTCCACATGTTTTCACTACACTAGTTTCTTGCCTTCTACCCTTTTTTTTGTATTCTTACAAAACTGGGGGCAGCACAGCTGTGGGCAGGGTTAAAAGGGAGCTGGCCTTCAACTCTTTTGTATTCTAGTGTCTGCATCCTCAAGGTAGCTGCAAACCCAGTCACTGACTTACTACTACTTCTGTGTCCCTTAGTTGACTCCAAGAAAAAGATATGGTAAGTACGCAAACATTCTTTTATCTCTCTACAAAGATTGTGAGTTAATGTTTTTATTTCAGATATATGCATTGTTTTAACAAAATGCCTTTTTTTTATCTTTAATGCCTTCACAGGAGCAGCTGGGTATGGATTTTATATTCTTATAGAACGCTGCATGTTTTTTCTGTTTGTAATTGTGTGGTGATTAGCAATTTCTAATCCTTGAAGCATTATATTAATATTGTGTTTTGTTGTTTAGGTGAGAAGCCATTTAAATGTGAGCAATGTAACTACGTAGCGTCAAATCAACATGAAGTGACACGGCATGCCAGGCAGCTCCACAATGGTCCAAAACCTTTAACATGCCCACACTGTAACTATAAGACAGCAGACCGCAGCAATTTCAAAAAGCATGTGGAGTTGCACGTCAACCCACGTCAGTTCCTGTGTCCTGTTTGTGATTATGCTGCATCTAAGAAGTGTAATTTACAATATCACATCAAGTCCAGACATTCAGGTTGCACTGACATAACAATGGATGTTTCCAAAGTGAAACTGCGAACAAAAAAAGAAATGTCTGTTTCAGAGATTAGTGTAAATAAGCAAGAAGAAAAAGAAAACTCAGAAGTAAGATCTGAGTCTGTAGAAAAGAAAACTGATGGCAAACTAAAACTGGGTAAAGAGAAAAGTGAAACACTTAAAACTGCTTCAGTTGGCCAGGTTACCAAACGTAGTTGCAAGATCTTTTCACTTAAGACTGTTGAAGATACAAGTGGTGATAAGAATGCCTTAAAATCTAGACGTGCAAAAAGAAAATTGGGTTCGGCACCTGAGAAACCACTGAATACTCATGATGCACAGAATACCAGTATGAAGAAAAATAAATTGGGTCAAAATAACCAACCAGTGCGTGAAGTCCTTAAAAAAGTAAACCGAGCTGGAAAGTCCCAGAAAAAGAAGTTATTTATAAATAAGAATAACCGACAGAAACCCCTTAAGAAAAAAACTATATTGGAAAACACTGATATTACAAAATGCAAATCTAAAAAAACACCTGTAGATAAGGATGCAGAAAATAATCTACAGCAGAACCAATATTCAAGCAGGGAATCTGACACACCTTTGGGGGCTTCATGTGCTGTTGAAATTGTAGCTGATCAGTCTGGTGCTAAAGAACCCATAGAAAACAGTCAACAGGGAGAAGACAACAGTACAGAAGAGGGTATTGTAAATGATGCATTTTCTTCAGACAATGTTCCTAGTTCAACTAATGACAAAATAGAGTGTTCTTGTGAGCTGCTTTTAGAAAAAGACAATAGTTTATGTGATGAAGAAGTTGCTCAGCCAGATAACACTCTAGTGAGCCATAACACTGAAAAAAATGATACAGAAACAGAATCCTTACCAGAGGTACAAACCTCAGACCATGATTCCCAAGCAGATGAATCTGCAGCAGTAGCAGAAGAACTTCAGTGTCACCCTGAGAACGAAACTGAATACAGCTCACGGGTGGAAAATTCGCTACAATGCAATTCAGATGTCTTAACGTCACCTCAGCCACCATCAAGTGCAACAATTGATCAGGATCCAAAATGCAGTGACCATCGTCCATCTGACCTCATTAGTAGTGCATCCTTGGATGTTGAGGAAGATGAAGGAATTCACAGTCACGAAGGCAGTGATATAAGTGATACTGTTTCAGAAAGAAGTGATGACTCTGGCTTAAATGGATTACAATGTGCTCAAGAAACCTTATGTCCAAAACCTTCAGGTGAATTGCCTCAGGTTGATAAAACTGTTGCTGCTGAAACTTTTACCTGCATTTTTTGTGATCGTACATTCAAGAAAGCAGAGGAATATACAAAGCACCTGAAACGCCATTTAGTCAATGTGTATTACCTTGAAAGAGCTGCACAAGATCGGCTGTAAATAGAAGCAATTTTCATAAACACTGTTACTTACAACTTTGGTTCTTTTATGTTCTCTAAAATGGTACAAAACTCTCCAGTATACTTTGACATCATGACCAACACACCCGTTTGCCAATTCAACGCTTTTCTTTTTTTTAATTGAATAGCTGCGTAAGGTGGTAAAGAAAATGGTATAAAAATATTCAAATATTCTAAAATGTACTGCTGTATTAAAACTTAATAGCATGCAGTATAGTATTTCCTGCCTTTCTTGAGCTCACCAATTGATAAAGTACGCCTTGGGATAGAAATATGGTTGTTGACGCTGCTGCAGTCAGTGAAGTCAGCACACTTGTTTTAAATTGGTGACTTATTTAGATGAGAAGCAAGGATAGGATCAAGGAGGCAATCCTGACACTTGCACCTTAACAAACAAGCCAACAGTGGCCCCATGTTCTGTTCCCGTTTAAGAGGACCAATAAAATTGCTAGTTTTATTTTTTATTTCACAAGTGCATAACATGAGCTGTAAATATCATGTACAGAAATATATGGTTGTTACTGATCCTGTAAACATAGTTGAGGAAAAACTGTTAAATGATTGATAGAAGTATTGTCCATTTTAATCCTGTTTAAAAACACACCAATCTACCTATCCTAGCTTTAAATCGTATTCCATAAGTAGGATTTATCCAGTTACAATACAAAGTGTCAATTTGCACATATTACGTGTGTGTGTTTTCTATTTTGTGCCCATTTTCAGTTTAAAAAATGATCAAGCCAGTTTCCCTGCCTCTTATTTTTTTTATGCATTTGCAAGAGTGAGCATTAACTTGTTATTCCTATAGGAGTTTAGTATTAATTTAAATGAGTACTGGATTTAAAGCTAAACGGATAACTACAAAGTTGAAAAATTGCGAACTATTTTACCTGCCAAATGATTTGCAGCTCCTGCGATTCACATGCTCTTAGAACACTGCATATCTAGGGAGATAATTCCAATTTTTGTTCTGTCACAGATGAGCAATAAAGTAGGTCACATTCACGCTCTAACCTTTTAAGACACATTTATGTCATCCTTGTGGTCTGTCCTTCTGTAAGCAAGCAACGAAGCACTGTGCAATGCAGTTGAGCCTGGTTAATTAATCGTATATAATCTCCTCTGTTTTGCAAGGACATAAGAGATGATAATGTAATAAAAAATGAAAATGTAATAAAACAGATTTCAGGTTCTTTACCCATACAGGACAATGCAAAGACATTGATATTAAACCTGCAAACTGTTAAAAAAAAAAAGAAAATCCAACAACTTGCTATGTCCGTTTGTTAAATTTTCTCGGCTAGTGAAACATGGTACCTTACATGAAGTTCTTGCCAGAAAGTGCTTAGCATCCATGACCACTGATGGATGTTTATTAAGGAGGCTAATTTACATAGGGAAAGGTATGCTGGAAAATTTTCTGATTTAAAGGCAGTTTACAATAAGGAAGGCAATGTGAAGGAATGTGGCAAGCAGTACACCACTTTAAAACAGTTTTGAATGACAGTTTGCAGTGAAATTGTCTCTAGAGTTTTGAAACTTTAAAAGGTTTTTTGAAGTTTAATGAATTTTCAGTCAGATTGGGAAAAAAAAATGATTTGATGTTAAAAAGCATCTATAAGGCCTACACACCAAATATTCTCAGATGTGTTTTCTGACTTAACCTAAAGTGACACCTTAATCAGGAGTTAAATCTTAAAAATGCATTCAAGTACCTTTTAACTATTTAATAAAAGTTTAGCTTTTTTTGTGCATCACTCAGTTGTAGATCTTTAAATCATCTCTGACTTCATGCTGACGTTGTCCTTCCTTCTGGAGGATGGCTACTTTTGTTCCCCATGGTCCCTGTGTGTGTTGTAAAGTAGTCACCGCTCCAAGCTCCCTCCCCTGATGTAAAGTATTTAGATTATAGTCCAACACACCCAGGGACCATGGAAAACCAAATTAGCCACCCTCCAGAATGAAAGGTACTGTCAGCACCAATTCAGACATGATCTGAGGATCTACAACCAAGAGATACACAAGCTACATTTTGTTAACACTTGAGGTACTTGAATGCATTTTTTAAGATTTAGCTCCTAAGTTTAGTGCCACTTCAAAGGACAAAAAAATAGCTTGTAATAGTTTATAATCTTCAGTAAATATTGATCTTTGTTTGCGTCATGTATTATCACATCTATGGATCGTTTTACACACGCTATCTATGGATAGTTTCACTACAAGCTTATGTATATTTCGTAGATGACAAATTTTGGCCTTTCGCTTACTTTCAATTTCCAGTGGCAATGCCCACTGGCACAATAATGAAAGGGGGAATCTCCCCAGCAGAGCAAATCAGAACTCACAGGTGTCACAGACAGGCGTCTACCACTTACACAAACACTCAAATTCTGACAAAAAACAGCTACAGCTCTGACTTTAGATACACATAAACTAATAGGTCTGTTTTATAAATGTTTTCACATAGTCTCTGAATTTTCACCCAAGACTACATTTTTCTAATTGGATTCAAATGGAAATTATGTGAATCCAGTGTGAAAACGCGTGCAAATTTATACATAGGACTACTCTTGCACTAGCCCTAAAAGTGATGTTGATGGCTTAGAGAAGATTATATAATGTCAATGTTTAACACAATTAAAAATAACGGTACTATAGAGAGGACAGTATGATTAGATTATGTAACTGCTGATTGAGGGTTTTTTAAGCAATCAAATTTATGCTTGAAAAATTGCCATTTAATGTTTATGCAGTTAACAAAAACTTTATTTCTCACACAGGTTTGTTTTCTATGGAATAATATTAGTGGGACCTTTATTTGCCCTATTTAAAAAAAAAAAAATACACAGCATTGCACATAGCTGTCATCTTATCTATGCAGTTAGAAACGTTTTGTGTTTTTTTTTTTTCCCCCAGAATAAAGCCAAAGTTCTGTAATGTCTTAGTTTACTGCCTCCATTTGTGTATATTGAGATGCATTATTTCATTTACTAGCAATAGCGCAGTCAATTTTTAGTTGAACATAATTTAAATATTGGATGGAATTAATGTAACTTTTTCTGGCTTTTTATTTTTTGGGATATAGGATTTCAAAATTTTTGCACATTCTATTTTAGGTTATTGTGTTTAGAGTAAGGAGACATTAGTATTTGCCTAGCATGACTATCCTCAAACATCTTCCATTTAGAAGAGCAGTGAGTGGCAAAAGTACACGTATCAAATCCTTACTAAGCGTATGACTGTCTGAACTTATATAAAAATTCCCTTTTTTTCTTTTAACGCCGTTAATCCTATGTTTTACTAGTATGCAAATTACGAGTACTTGTTGGCAATTTAAAATGCCACTGCATCCAAAATGATTCTGTTTTTTTTATAGGTAGAGCCTGGTGGCCAGAGTTAGCCATGGACTTCTTAAATATCTTTGTTACTACTTCATTGAGAGCTCCCTTACATAATTATCTACTTGTTCCCCTTCACCCAGCAGTTATGGATGCTTCCACTCATATTTGGGAATATGTCCTGTTAACAGCCACCCAGGAACTCTCCCTGACAGGTATAAGAAATTGACAGATGGCTTAACCTTCTCGCAGCAACCAGAAATATCAGTTTTGTGAAGACTGACTTTATCTCTGTCCCCATTGTGGAGATCCACTATTGCATAATGTCCTTGTAACCAATGTCTCAATGACTATATTTTGGGAAAATTCAAAATTTATGGTGGCCTGGGATAAGAGGTGAAAGGAGATCTCCAATATGGGACCTTGGGTATTAGTAATAACATGACAGTCTGCCCAAAGCTTTAAAAAGTTTGGCCAAGTTATACTTTTTTAAACTCTGAGATGCTATGCAGTTTTCTTTTTATCTGCTGAAACTCTACATTAAGTATAAATCTACTTAACCCCTTCATGACTGAGGCCCTTTTTTATTTTTTGCACCCATGTTATATTCCACATTTTAGGCCTGAAAATGACGTAAAACCCCCCAACTATCTAAACCTAGATTCAACTGTAATGTATTGCAGTTTGCTGCATTCGTTCTGTTTTTAGGCTTTTTTTTCTTCCCCCTTGTTCAACTTATGTTTCTGCAAATATTAGGGATGCACAGATACCGGTTTTTCGGTATCGAGTACTGATATTTATATTTCGGTACTTGCCGATACCGGTACGTCTGGTAGCATGGAGCCAACTTCCTGGGCAATCAGGAAGCTGGGCAGCCAGTCATTACACGCTCCGTTGCCCGGCTTCCTGATTGGGTAGGAAGCCGGCTCCATGCAGAATGACTGGGAAGCTTGCTTCTTACTCCTTACCCGCGGCCTGGCTTCCTGATTTTGCCCGGGAAGCAGGCTCCATGTTCCCTTGCGGCACTGCCGGTCAGAATAAATCTCCCTTTGACCCGAAGTTCCAGTATCGGAGCATTTGGGCGAGTACGAGTACTCGCCCAAATACTGGGTATCTGCACTGATCCTTTTGTATCTACATTTATTTCTCCACTGTATCTGTGGAGTGAACCATGGTTGTCCCACAGGCTTGACTTCAAACATGTCTGCCTTTTGTGTATCTCTTTTACATAGTGGATTGATGGAATTAGTAGCTTACACAATAAAAATAAGATTGCTTTTTCTGCTCATATGAAGGGAAAAGGACAATGTATTTCTGGCAAGATCAACAGGTAGTTATTGCACTTGCTAAAAATGTTCTTGCCCTAAACAAACTAATACAACCAGCACATCTGGAGACTAGAAAGCTGCAATGGATTTTTTTTTCTTTTAGATGAGCTTTAAAATTGTCGGTGGCTCCATACTATATACTATTTATATTTGCGGTATGTTAAAAGCATGCTACGGTTTTGGTTTTCTTTCATTTTAGTCCACCAGAATGCAAAGAAATGTGTTTAGTAGATGCGACTAGAGTAATGGTTTTTAGGGAACAAGTGGTAAAAATTTAAGGTAAAAGTTGCTTGTTACCTGTTCTAATCATATTATTTGCTCAGATAATCAGTGTGCCTAAGTAGCCAGTTTGTTGCTTTTATGTCTTAGCTGATATTCTAATAAAAAAATA